GAACCGGCACAAAAGACACGGTCGGCGGCTACAACTAATCATCAGATCAGTCAGGAATCAGGAACTAGTATTCTATACAGTCAGAAACAGGGAGAACCATTGACCGAGCTTTAAAGGTGGGAAGAAAATCATACGGAGAACAGAACCTTTTTGCCTACCGGAGAGATTACAATCCTGGATCCCACCACGAGGCAATTGAGGCAAATAGCAATACTCCTAGGTTCTGGTGCAGAATTATCGTTCATCGACAGTGCACTCGCCGATGAGTTGCAATTACCGACGCTGAAGACGACCAAGCTACGTCTTCGTACATTTGGATCGGATCGAGTACGTGCGTCAGCCGTAAGGTTCCTCTGGAGATATGGGATGATGAAGGGAAATCATACTCCATGGAGCTTATTACACATGATATTTTGACCACTAGTTTCAAAAATCCCCCTCTGCTGGACGAAGACCTTGATTTCATCAAGACCACAAACCTTCCCATCAAGTTGATCCAAAGGCAGGAAGATACGAAACCCAGAATTCTGTTGGGATCTGATCTAATGTGGCAACTTATCCGACCGGATGAACACCACATAAGCCTTCCATCAGGACTTCATCTACTTCCAACTCATTTAGGCCATCTGCTGACCGGTAGAGGTCAAGAAGGACATCAAGTTACTCGTGTAATAGGCTCCAAAGATCATGAAGAGCAGCTCGGCCAAGAATGGGAGCAAGCTTGGCCCTTCGAAGCCCAGAAGAGCACGCTTTCCTTTGAGAGCCTTCCCAACAATATGGACGAAAAAGGATTATGGGATAGGTACTGGTCTTTAGAACAGGACGGTACAGAAGACTTCACAGGATCGGAAAAAGAAGTTCAGGCGTTAGTGGATCAGAAGGTCCTCTAGAACTTCTTGAACACGATTGAGAAAAAAGATGATGGTCACTATGTACGTCTACCTTGGAAGGACATTCCAACGACATTACCGGACAACAGAGCCATCGCATTACGGCGTCTCGTAAGCGTGTGGTTCTCACTGAATAAGGACAAGGACTGGAGAAATATAACAGTACATAAGAACAGCTGAACTTGAATATCATAGAAGAGGTCCCAGATGAATACAAACCAGTGGAAGGCGCAATTCATTATCTTCCTCATCAAGCGGTGTTGACCCCAAAGAAGACCACAACGAAAGTACGGATTGTTTTTGATGCATCAGCCCACTATAAGTACTCCCCGTCCTTGAACGACGCGTTGCATAGAGGCCCGGTGATTCTGCCCAAACTTTATGGTATTCTCCTGCGGTTCCGGATTGGGCGTATCGCATTGATATCGGATGTAGAAAAAGCGTTTCTACAGGTTCGTCTGCATCACATAGATAGGGATTCCGCGCGTTGCTTATGGTTGCAGGATCACACGATTCCCCCTAGTGCTAAGAACTTGAGGTGATTCAGATTTACACGCGTAACATTTGGACTGCTTCCTTCGCCATTTTTATTGGCGGCCACAACTCATTACCACCTAGACCAGTATTCTGATGATGTACAAACTCATCAGAGAGGTCAAGGAAAATCTCTATGTAGATAACCTCCTTCTTACTACGGACTCACCCACAGAAGCAGTTCGCGTGTATTCTAAAACTAAAAATATTTTGAAGACCTAAAAATGAATTTGAGGGAGTTCAGTTCGGATGAAAATCAAGTCATGGAAAAAATCGCGTCGGGTGACAGATCTACGGATATGGATCCCAAAATCTTAGGTATTACATGGACTACATTAGATGATAAGATCCATATCGCGTGTAAAATGATAGAGTCAAGAGAGACCACCAAGCGTTCCATAGTGAGTGCCGTCGCGTCGCTGTACGATCCCATGGGGTGGATGTTGCCATTAGTGCATAGAGCAAAGGTCTTTCTACAAGCGCTTCGGAAAGACGGAATGGGAAACGCTCGTCAAAGAGGTGCAACGGTTCCAGAAGGAGCTATCCCGTCCTTTAAGCGTGAAGTACTCGGAGGCTCGACTGGTCACGTTTGCCAACGCTAGTATGGAAGCCATGGCATCATGTATCTACCCATGCTCCGGAACATCGGTTGACTTACTCATGGCTAAAGGGAAGCTTCCTTCTCTGAAAGCGAAAATGACTATTCCCAAAATGGAACTAAGCGCGTTGACTTTGGCTATGCGCCTTACAAATTCGGTAGTTTCCCAAATTGACGCTATTGCCTCTATAAAGTCAGTCCTCATCCTAACGGATTCGGAAATCGTATTGTGTTGGATTGCGAAAGATTCGCAAGTGGATATGGGCCCTTTCGCGAGGAATCGCGTTTTAGAAATTCGTAAGATAACAGCTCACTTTGAACAAAGCGGCTATCCGGTACGGTTCGGACACATAACCTGTCAGATCAACCCAGCGGATTGCGCCACGAGAGGGATGGACAAATCGCAACCCAGGATCACTTCTGGTGGAATGGGCCCAGATTCCTGTCCAATAATGCGAACACATGGAAGTACGCGTATACTCCGATCCTGATGAGCACACCCCATGACAAGGTTGAAAAATGGGATGATGTTAAAGACACGGCCACAGAAAATCGCGTTTTGACATGTACAAAAGAAAAATTTGAAGATCTTTTTTAAAGCATTCGCTTTTCGAGTCTCTCCAGTGTTAAGCGCATGGTCGCTTATATTCTGAGGTTTATCACGACCCTTATTGACCGCGTAAATAAAAGGAGAACATCTACGCGTACGCTCTGACTCATTTTTCAACAGATCTCTATGGGAGACTCCTTGATAATAAGAGGGACAGAAATGCGTTTGGCGGCTGCGATGCTAGTCAAACAGCACCAGCTTTCCCACGCTTTTTAGAAAGTCCTCAAGTCGCTTCATCACCTCAATCTTTATGAGGATGTGTACGGAATAAAGAGATGCCGCGGAAGACTGGGGAAAAGCGATCTAGAATAGGAAACCAAGTATTCCATGCTCATTCTCCAAAAGAGATGGCTTTCCTCAGATGATCATAACACACTCCCACAGTAGGCTACACCTCAGCACAGGCCATACAATGTGTCGCGTGAGAGAAAATCATTGGATCCCCCAACTTAGGGCGGAAACAACCAACTTGATCAGACGATGCATAACGTGCCAAATGTTAAATAACTTACCGTATAAATATCCCGAACAAAGTGACCTACCAACCAGAAGAGTAACTAGGTCGCGTCCATCTGCACATGTAGGCTTAGACTACTTCGGACCTTTATTCGTCAGAAGTGAGGAGCGGGTAGACAAGTGCTACGGATGTATTATCACCTGTATGGTCACAAGGTTAATTCACCTCGATATAGTAGCAGACGTCTCAACTATCGCGTTTCTCCAAATGTTGCGACGATTATTTTCGCGGAGAAGCACTCCGCTTTGGATTACGAGTGACAACTCTTCTATATTCACGTTAGGGGACGCCATTCTATCCGAATGTTTTCAACGGATAAGAAATGATGTGGCCATAGACAAAGAAGTGAGCAATCCTTACATTCTATAAACCGCTAACTCTGTGTGTCGGTTTGTCGGTTATGTATGTTGTCCGTCCGCAAAATGCTTCACGGGCTGAAACACGTCAGTGTAGGAGAGTATACGACCGCTAGCCGGTGGCGAAACCAGTTGATGCAGATGTACCAATCCAATGTTTTGATTGTGATAACACCGTGCACTATAAGAGAACTATGTAGTGCACTCGAAACCATTGCACGAGCTGCTCGCGTGGCAGGTGGACGTGAGCACGTGCAGCGGCCGGGATGAGGAGTGGGTGGGGCAAGTGGGAGTGGGGAGGGTATAATGTGGGTGGGTGGGATTAGTGGGAGAGAGAGAGTAGGGAGGGGAAGCATAGAGTGCGTTGAGTAGAAACTCATCACAAGTGTGGTAATAAAAGCGCCAATGAAAGCGATAAGGTGAATAGAGGAAGGATGAACCGCTAGCAGAGTCGCGAATAAAATCCATGTTTTAGTATCACTTTGAGGCAATGTGTGATTGTTTACAACCTCACTATATAAAAGAATCATGTAGTGCATTATAAGTGAGCTACTCGTATGAACATATTGGTCTAAGATTGTTGACTATCTGTATAAAAGAAAAGCCGGCGAGGAGAAAGACAAGCGCGGTGGAGCCGGGCCTGCTCAGCAAATCCATTTTTTATCTCAGAAGAAGGCGTGCAAGCATCAGCCGGCAAAGACGGCTGGTAGACAAATAAACTGGATTTACATAACACCCTATGCACCATGGCAGGGAGGGGTGTACGAACGTCTCATTCAGTCAGTAAAACTCGCCATGCATAAATTCCTGGGGAAGGCGACCCCCACCCGCGATGAGTTAGGGACGTTGATTATGGAACTTGAAGGGATGTTAAACACCAGACCGTTAGCATATGTGGAATCGGAGTCGGACACAGATAGCGTTAAGACCCATAGATTTTCAAACGAATTTGAAGTTTCGGCTCCTCTAGACGTTGTAGAAGATGACACTACAGACCCCACGTACGTTACTCCAGCAGATCGCGTAGCTCTCCAAACTAAGATGCAAGCTCGAGAGGCGCTGAAAACTTTATGCCAGATGACGGAAAAATTTTGGCACACCTGGCAGTCACAATACCTTACATCCCTTCGAGAAAAACACCAGCGAGATGTAGGAAAGAAGCGGGGATCTAGCTCTAAAGTCGGAAAGATGGTATTGATCTGTGATGCTCTCCAACCACGTTATCAGTGGAAAATGGGACGCATTGTGGATCTATTAAGAAATGAGGACATAACTAGAGAAGCAGTAATATTACTCCCGTCGAGTAGGAAGATTAGAAGACCGGTGAATCTGTTAGTACCGCTCGAACTAGGTGATGATGGTAGCTTTTCAGAATCCCTTCCAACGTCGACTCCAACACCAAAAGCGGACGTTACTTCGGAACCAGAACCTAGGGACACAGGTACCCAGCCGGCTTTACAGGCAGCTCCGCCGGCATAATCTCCGACCGAGAAAGATGGGGCAAAATAAAGGTCATGGCGCGTACTCAACACTGACCACGATACGGTTTGCCTGGCTATCATTACTGTGCTAATCGGTTAAAGCTTTGGCGCGGACATCCCGTTGCCCAATATTACTGAGTCGGTGAGACTCCCACCTCGAATAATACTTCGTGAACATGACGTTCAATGGAAAATTTTAAAGGACACTTAGTTGTAACGATAGAAACAACCCGTCCTTCCGCCCCACCATATCGAGTGTACATTCTGTTCGACTTTGGTATTTGACCCGGAGTGCTGGCCGGTAGGAGCCATCTGGGTAACGGCAGTGATTTTCTACTTCGTCATTACAGGCTGCTATGTATTTTTCTACATCCCATTGGTACTATGGACATCCATTCGCGTTTTCCTAACAAGACTACGACGTTTAGGAGGCTGCTTCTACAGGACGATTCGCGGGAGAATTCGCCGCGCTCGTCGCAGGCCAACGGTGGATCTGATTGAACTACTGGCCCTCGTGATAAGCCTAACATCGTTTATGTACACGGTATATGGGTGTAAGGAAGTGAATATTTTCTCCCATCATAGCACCCTCTGTAGCACTTCAGGAAACCGGCAATTATGCAAGGTCCAGTTGTCGGAGGTCCTTAAGATTAGTCCGTTCAAGCGAGAAGCCTGTTTCAAGATGAAGACGAATTCTACTACCGTGCATGAAATTCGACTAACTTGGAGATCCCTCATGCTCACGTGTGAGCCAGAGACAGACTACTTCACAAGGGATGTCGAGTATCGCGTAGTGGACAGCAAACGCTGCCCGCACATGGGATCTTGCAGCGGGTTTAAATGCGCTAAAATCAATGGCTCCACCCTCATTCCTGAGTTGGAGCAGGGAAATGCATACCTAGGTACAACCTACTGCGTAGAGTCGTGTGGAGGACCTGGCTGCGACTGCTGGTATTGGGGATCAGGATGCTTATTCTATCGCGTATATCTCGTCACAGTCTCCAATGAAACGTACGAAATTTTTCACTGTAATCGATGGAAAGAAGCAACAAAAATAGAAGTCATGCATTTTGACGCGATAACTAACGGCAGGAAGTAGCGCGTGATTCACATGATACCAAATGTACCGCTGCGATGGAACGCGTTCTCCTTGACACTAAGCTCCATTACGGTACCTCCCTTCTAAGCAAATCTTTCATATCGAACACCAAAGAGACGGCGTGGTGGGGCTCGAGTTTAGCGGCCCGCTACATTGCTCCAACGCAAATGCAGCGGCGAAACTGGATTGTGAAGTGCAAGACGACTGTACGTGCTATCCAGCGGAAACAAAAGCCAACTGTAAGTGTAGGCAAATAAGCTTTGCCACATGTTTTGAAAATCTGCATCGCTTCCCGGTCATTACAGAGTGTCCACGATGGTAACGTCCGAAATAGTGCTCAATCTCGGCAACGAATATGAGACGAATATATTGGTGGATGAAGCCATATGTAGAGTGTCAAATGCCGTACTAACGGGCTGTTAGAACTGCGCGAAGGGAGCGCAGGCACGTGTCATCTGCACGTCATCCCGATTGGCGCAAGCGGAAATTGTATGCGGCGATGCGAGCTTTGTCGTTCCATGCAACGTAGACGGTATGGAATCTTCATAGCGATTTAGTTTCACAAAGGTCCGCATAAATAGCCGATGTTCTGTTTCATGCGGACCTGTACTGTCCACATTCGAAATAGGCGGAATCCTAAAATTTACGCATTCTCTAGAAGAATTGGTAAGCTCACGGATCGAAGGTCTAACAAACAGCTTTCAAGGCATAGAGTTCCCCGACGTATTCCATATTGCCAACGTTTTCGCTCAGTGGTTTAAGACCCTACTCCGGCAATAGGTGCACTAGCACTGGCAATCATAGCTACATACATCTCCATATGGACCTGGGGACCCAAAGTGGTATTAGGAGTACCACGAGTAAACGTGACAACGGTCCGACTGTTTTTTCGTACCTGCTTTCGCGTTCTCCATGTCTTATCAAAGTCCTTTCGCACAATGCATGAAAAAATCACTATGAGTGCACTTTCCGGTTGTTATATGTCATGTCCAAGACCAAAACAGTCTTTCGCTTTGCACGCAAAATCACGCTCAGTGATGTTCCCATGCACCCACGAGAGTCGAGTTCTTCATCAATTTACGCGTATTTCAGGATGGCCGAACGAGACGTGGATATTTACATGGCGTATCTTTCCACTCTGATACTCCACCATCATACCGCGTTGAAAGCGTACTGGAAGACTTGAAAGCGATCGAGGAAGCGTTTTATCGATAAATTAGTGTCGCGTCAATGATCCAGCTACAATGGAGTCATATTGTTACGGATCAGACTTTCATTTTCGGAACACCTGGAGATAGGATTTGAACTTGGCGAAGCAAACGAAAGACCTCATTCTCACGAGACAAAGATAAGATGGCAACACGTTTCATCTATACGAACCGCTACTACAAGGAACTCGCAGTATCATTTAAGATCACCATAAGCGAGAAAGAATGGGATTGCCAAGCGGAAGAGATACATCTCCAGTTAGATAAGAACACGAAACGATTCACGTCTCTACTCCAGGAAATGGAGAAGGAAGTAGGTCCCTGTCAGACGAACGCTCAACACATCAACCAACTCTTCCGTAAAGCATTCGACCACTTGAAATCTTCAGAACGGGACGATGCGCAAAAGCGTTTCAAAGAGCTGCAGAAGAAAATAACCGAGCAAGCAGCGGAAATATCGCTTTCAAAGTAACAGATTCAGAAGCCACAGCCATATCCCGAACCGCGCCCAACAGATGTAGAAATGACAGACGGCGCGTACTGGCCCCATATGGTCGAAGGAATTGCACAGAGACCGCAGTGTGAGACTAACGAGCAGCGATTTTGTATATGGTATTCTTAGGACCCTCCTTAATTTTTTTGGAGAAACCCTTATCAGCTACTGTTTCATAATTGAAAAGCAACTATCCATGTCACTTTTATCGCGGGAGCTGTTTTTAAAAGTCCATTAAGTAATTACCATGTCCACTGTTCATTCCGTATGGATCCCTTCTCAGCCGAACATACTGTACCACTTTGCCACTCAAAGTGCCAAGTAAGAAAGCTAGCAGGTTGTGGTTTGACCTTGTCTTGTCCGAACTGTCTCTAACTATCCTTCTATTTTATAAAACAGAAACATCGTGTGTCGCTTTGTCGGTATGTATGTGATGTATGTATGTATGTTATGTTTGTTTGTTTGTTTGTTTGTTTGTTTGTTTGTTTGTTTTAATGATGTTTGTTTGTATGTCTGTCCGTCCACAAATTATGTAATAGCACGGTCGGTAACGTAGGCAGAGGGACGGGAACACTACTGGTAGGTGACAGAAGCTTGTCACCTTTGATAAGAGCCGATAAAAGAGTATAGAAGTGGAAAGTCGCCAAATGCATAGTGCGGGTCGCAGCAACAGTAGGAGTCAACTCGAACATGCGATATAGAGTGTGAGGCTGTGGCACTCATGGTGGGCGACAGGAAGGGATAACAGCTGATATGGACTGGTAACGAGCATTGGGGGCCATCATCTCTCTTTGAGGCGGCATCGGTTTCACACAGCCAAAATTTGAAGGCTTTGGAGCGGGGACCTTGACGACGGGTGACAATGATTATATCACTTGATAAGTACTGATAAAAAGTTGCCTTTACTACATTTCTTGAGTCTATCCTGCTGCATCTGTAGCTTAAGTATTACAGGCGAGCAGCACAGTGTTGGCTGTTCCCCTTATGGCCTCATCCACTAAGATATGGAAGCAGTAATTGCCATTTCTTATTACGAGTAATTACGAGTAATGCTGGAAGGGGGGAGAGATATACTGTACGTCTGGAAGAGAAAATCAACGGAATTTCGTGGAGATTGAGTAACCGTTGCGCTCTTCAAAATGAATAATTTGCCAGGAGACGGGCAAGAGAACCGCACATCACCGCTTCGTCGCGCACGGCATTGAGCGCAGCGATTTCTTACTTCGCACTAACCTTTCGATTAGAACGTCGGATTTCATGTAGACAAAAACAAGGTAAACACTCCTATTTTTGGTCATAAATTGCCTACTCTCGACCAATACCACCCAAAATTGACGTCATTAACGGGCGCGACGTCGCACGCGACGCTCACTGGCGCGGCGAATCACGATTCTCTTGCCACATACCATAATGTGCCAGGAGAGGCTCTATGCAATCAATGAGGGCTCAGAGGGGAGTATGTGCTGCCAATAACGAGCTCTAAGTTCTTCGGTGATGCACAGCGATTTCTTTGAACTGTGCCGTCTTCTCGAGAAGAGCGCGGTTGAAGAACGGGATTAGCGGCAGAGAATCGTTGAGCGTACGGTGATAGGTGATATAGAGCTGCTTTCGAGTTTTCCATCTGCTCATTTCTTTCGCTCAAAACCGCTGTGTAGTCATTTGACACATCTTTCATTTTCAAGCTCGCCTTAAACGGCAGCATGGCAAAGCGAGAACGGCCCAGCAAAGCCAGGTAAGCACACAGGAAGGAGGAGCGCCTGGCCTCAGCTCGGCGATCCGACTGCAGTGAGTATATATCCACAAGTACTTCTTGAGATTTGACGACCTCGCGCTTAGCGTCTCCGCGCTCGCCCAATGCTGAGTATTGACCGGTTCTCACCGGAGCGTTTCCGATAAGCTTTCCTTTGCTACTTTTCCAACTGATATGCCAGGTAGCTACGCATCCACTAATGATAAGTGAAATCATCTTTGTGGCGAAGAGAGGGCGTGTTTTAATCGGCTTCCTTGCACTTCCCCAGTCTCTCCTCTAGAAACTCCAAGCCAGGTCGGAGGGGCTGGGATCATCCCAAATCGACAACTAGTTTTATCTGTATGAAAGATAGTGTAATCAAGGGATAGAGGGGACTGTACTTGAGAGATTGACTTTACCGTGTTGGATGCGAACCGCACCGATGACTGTTAGACTTGGGTGCGGCTTGCTCAGGGTGGGGATTGCCTTGTCGCGGGCCGTACCACTCGCTTTACGTTTCAGAAGTGAGTCACCTTTTCCGCAATGAAAGCGGTCGTCTTACTCAGGGAGCACAGCTCAGGTAAATTGCGTAATGTGCCAAGAAAAAGCGAAGCAAGTGCCGCACGAAATCAGTCCCCTTACTGCCTTGTCGCGGGCAGGGGTTGATGAAGCGGTCTGCCTTGTTTGACAAGATATGAAATGCAGTCACAGTCTTTTACTGGGCTAACATGCGTCGTTTCTTGCTTGGCGTCAATTATAGCGTCCACTTAATACTTACTTACAACTATTCTTTTGAATTTGAAAAGCTCAGTTCTGTTGTAGAGCACTAACTCACCCGCCAAAGCCTCCAGGTTTTCCTGAAACGGCATAGTTGAAAATAATATACTCAGTTTTTCAGCTAGAAGAACTCACCAAAGCCTTGACCTGGCCGTTTTGTTTTCGGTGTTCGCCATCCCGTTCCAAATGGAAATGGATATATTCCTCCCCATCCTCCATCGTACCCTCCTGCTCCACCGTGCCCTCCTCCTCTACTGTGCCCTCCTCGTCCAATGTGCCCTCCTCGTCCACTGTGCCCTCCTCGTCCACTGTGCCCTCCTCCTCCACCGTGCCCTCCCGCTCCTCCTCCTTTTGAAATTGCTTCGTCCATGAGCAATGAGAATAGTATAACGGTAAGGAATCGGGTCCACATCTGCAAAGTAATTAAATACACATGCATGAAGGGTAGGGAGCAGTACCTTTTAGAGACGTCGACCGAATTGCGCGATTGCAAACTACGAAATGAAAGCCACTTGTCTAGCTCTCTCCATAAGATGCGGAGAATAAAATCGGTGGAAAGGGCTAGGGGCAAATCATTCTGTTGATAATCACCGATCTGTAAACTCATTGACCTGTCCTTTCTGGCGCTGTTCGACTGGATGGGAAGACTGAGCCGTTTACTCAACGACCGCAGTTGCGATATGAGAATGGGTTGAAGATGAAGCAGTCCGGATGAGCAGTGTAACATACAAAGCCTTGTTAACTCCTGAAGAGGCACAAGTGTCGACTGTGGAGCAGGGTCAAGCATACGTGCGGAATATGCTGCGGGAGGTTCGTATTTGGCGTTTTGTCTGAGGGGAGGGTTGCATTTGCCGAGATCAGTACAGCAGGGACCTGGCCTGTACTCTCAATGATATCGGAAAGGTAGTCAAGTACATGGCACCCTCCATGGTGTTGGACAGCGCCTCTCTGCTGCAGTTCAAATTACCTACATAAAGAGGAGGTTTATGGGAGGCCTACCGAGGTTCCTAGATGCAAGTGTGAGCTGGGGGAGATCCTCATCATGACGAAATCTGACTTTCAATTAGAAATCTAAGACTGGCGAATTTTCGAAACAGCTACAAAAAAGTGGTGCTCCTCGAAACAAGGATAACTTTCCTTCCCAACGCCCTGTAGATCTTTGCTCTAGGTTATGTCTTAGTGAAGCTAAGGGGGAGCTTTGAAGAGAGAGAGAGAGAGAGAGAGAGAGAGAGAGAGAGCTGAAGAGCTAGAAAACCTCCGCGTAATTTTTGTGATTTTTAAGACGGGCGAATTTTTGCAAGAGCTGAACAGCCAAAGATTCTCCGCGTCATTTTAGTGATTTTCCACGACGGACAATTTTTTGCAGTGACTGAGCCACAGAACTGCTGTGCTCATTTGCGGAAAACCTTTTAGTTCTTTCCGGATTGTGAATCTCCGTCCGTTCTATTTCATCAGTTTGGCTGACGCGCATTACTGTGCGCATGGACCTATGGTACTGATAACTGACAGGATTTCTATGCTGAGCACTAACACTTAAAATTAGCCTAATTCCAATTTTTTTTGGAAACGGCCCATTTCATCATGTTTCTCCCTCTCAATGAACGTTTGCATACGTTTAGTGCTCATCATGATTCTGAAAGCACCATTCGTTGGAAGTGTGACAGCAAAGCGGTTGGGAGAATTTCGATGGTGAAAATATCGAAATCATTGTTGCTGGCCAACAACTCCATACATTCTCTTGGAGCTTGAGCTTTCAGCGGTGGGAGCGATTCCGACCGTTAAAATGAGGGATTTCGCTGCGGCATAGAAACATCTTGACTCACTAAGCCTTTGCCCATCAACTCCTCGGCCACGGTGATGTGAGCTTATTCTGACTCTTTGTAGGACACTGTCGGGATTTATCTCCCTCTTTTGTGTTCCCTAAGCACGTTTAGATTACGGTAGCACTTCTCCAGTGTTGCTACAACTCTGCTGTGAATTTCGGGACTATCCTATTAGCTGTTATCACTTCCTGCCACCCACCACTAATTTTCCCATCCTGCCCCCTATATCGCCTCTCGGAGCCAAAGTCCTGCCGTCGCTGTGGCGCAGGTTATGGATTTTGTGACCCTCCTACTCTAAAGCTCCTTATGCTATCTTATTAGCTGTTGTCACGTCCGGCATCCACCAGTAGTTATCCAGTCCTGCCAACTGTCTTATTTCTTGAGAACCGACGTCCCGTCGTTGCTGTGGCTGACGCTGCTCCACTACTACATGCCATCTCAAATCATGGGGAAAAAGAAAAAACAAAAATAGTGAAACAGAGAATAGCTTCAACTGTCCTTGGCAACGTCAGAATTCATCTTGCCTTGCAAAATGGACTGTCACTGACATAATACATGAACAGATATACCGGTAAAGCAGAACGACTCGAAAGTTCTCAAGGAGTTGGCAAGCCAAGATTCCAATCGACATGCATAGAAAAACGCCCCACGAGGCGCCATGTAGCACAATGCACATACGTAACCTCGTGTAACCTGTTCTCTGTCTGAGTGGAAATAGTAGAGGTCGCAAGAATCACGTCACTAGACCCGTTATCACGCCGTTTCGAGTGACGAAAGTGGTATATTCTTTGCATGGGCGGATCCGAATGCCAAATGCACGGAGGAATTCCGCTGATCACTTGGTAGCGGGAACTGTCTCTGAGAGGGCCAGACTGCTGGCTTTGAAGTCGAGTATTTTTCGACTGAGAGCTTTCGAGTTCTCAAGAAATGCATTGCAAGTGACCACGTTCCCGTTTTCTTTTCGTTTTCATTTGTTTTCAAGATCATTTCATACTCTCTTCTGTTATTTGGTGATCACACTTTGAAAGAGCATAACCTGAGAGGGCATTAATGTGATTTATCCAGTCTGGGAGGCGGAGGTGGTGTAGTGACAAGTGGCGCGCTTACCACTCGCGCGGGGCCGGGTTCGAATCCCGGGTCGACACCCACCCAGGCCAACCAAGCCTTCTACCCTCCGGGAACGGTGAATTGGTACCAGATTCGTCTGGGAGGATAAAACACTGACTTGTACATCGGCTGGCCACCGCAAGTCATTGTATAGGCCACATCGCATTCAATAAGCCACTACGATTCTGAATGGAAGCAGAATGCGTGCCCATCCCACAAAGGGATTGATCAACGGCGAAGACTTTTATCCTTTTATCCAGTCTGGCCCTGCGATACATTAGTTTATATAGAAAAACTCTCCACACACGAGGACATTCTTCCCATGTGCGACGCGAATGGGTCCTCCGCTGCAGTAGTCCACCACTTTCTTCGATAGTAAGGACGGGGACGGAGCTGTAAGAAGGTGGTGGCACGGCCACAAATCATCCCTAGACGTGATCCAGTGCACCCAAGAGAGTTGAGTTTTTCAGAATGGCCGAGCGAGACGTGGATAATGACATCGTGTAGCTTTCCACACTGATACTCCACCGTCCTACTGCATGAAGAGCGACTGAAAGACTTGAAGCGACTTGAAAGCGATTGAGGAAGCGTCATCGAGAAATTGGCGTAGCGTTCGTCTAGCTGCAATAGAGTTTTATCTTTACGATCAGAGTTCACTCTCGGAACGCCTGCAGGCAGGATTCGAACCTTAGCGGAGCAATTGGGAGACCTCATCCTTACAATGGGAAAATTTTCGCATATGGGAACATGTTTCATCTACAGGAACCGCTACTACAAGAAATTCACAGTTCAAGGAAGATCACAATATGCGAGAAAGTACGGGATATCACGCGGAAGGGATACTTCTTAAGTGACTTTGGAAAACGGAACAATTCACATTACTACTTCACGGAATGGAACAAGAAATGACATAGGCGGAAAAGGATTTCAACGTAGGGCCTATCATTCGAACCAGTCGGATCGCTCGGCTAACGCCGAGCTATCCTCCTTCTTTTTAGCTCGGCTTCGCCGAGCTGGCCTGGCTTTCGCCAGGCGCGCTCTATAATGAGAAGCGGAACTCTTTTAACCACTGAGTTGCTCACACGGCGCTGTAGTGGTCGAATAACAACAGATACAGCAACCCTGCGGATCATGCACTCCTTAGCAAAGGTTTATACTTGCGGTCCGTGGCCTGCCTATATAATGTCTCGGAGCTAGAGTCCCACTGCTGCTGCGACCCGCACTATGGACTGGGTGGTCGTCCCCTTTGGACGCCCCTTATCAGATCTTATCACCTGATAACACTTCCCACCGCCCACCAATGGTGTTCCCGTCACATCTCCTCCATAACTTCCTGGAACCAACGTCTCACTTCTACTGGGAGGGTCGCTGTGAATTTCGTGACACACACACACACACACACACAGACACACATAGCGGAATTATATATGGTGGGATGCTCTGCACATCAACCAACTCTTCCGCAGAGCCATATTAACAACCTGAAATCCTCAGAACGAAGATGCGGAGATGCGTTTCGAAGAGCTTGCGAAGGAACATAACAAAGCAAACAGCGGAGATATCTTTTTAAATGAACGGATTGAAAATCCACATCTAGATCCCGAACCGTGCCCGAGAGATATATGATAGATGACGCGTACTCACCCCTTGTGGGACAGTCAATTTCAAATTCCCCAGCACTTGCCTCCAATGTGCGGGGGTAGGACGCTGACGGCGAAGGAGTACCATCCAATAGCTGAAGACAACGACAAGAAATGGCTGGAAGAACACGACGATAACTCCAGCAACAGTGGTCTCTTTTCAATGAACTACTAGTACTTCAGAAGCCGTGGAAACCAGCGGGGTTAACGCGGTACCTGAACGAGTATCTCCAAAAAGTCCCCAGTGGCCGTAGGGATCGGGTTGTTGAACGCGTCATCTGAACACGTCACGGCAGCAGTATAAGATCGTGCAGTAGAACGGATTATCCCAAGGAGAGCGAATCCCAGAATCGCGTATCTTCACCTGAATCGAGAACCGTCACAATCAGCAGATAGCGAACTCCCAAGACAGCATAGGAATCGTCCAACCGAAGACGGGACGCGATTGAACTGAGAGAAAGTCTCATAAAAATCTACAGTCGATAGAGGACGTGAAATTGGAGAGGAGACGGATGACGCGAAGATCGCGTTAGTGAGGATAGAGGCACAACAACGCGGAGGAAGGCGAGAATCACGAATACCTAGAAGATGTGCGAGAGGGGAGGACTCAAGATGTTGTGGAAGAATTAAATCAGTGATCGCAGTGACTGTCGTTGATGTTGTACATGCCGTTTTCATTTTAAATCGACACTTATTTGAATCGGACATCATACAGCGTCCATGCAGCACGTTAAGATTGTGCAAAGAACGGGAATATCTCGAGGTCAGGGAAGCCCAGAATCGCGTATCTTCAATGAAATCGAGCCTCAGTCCACAATCAGCAGATAGCGAACTCCCAAGACAGCATGGGAATCGTCCAAACCGAAGATGGACGCAAGATTAACTGAGATGACTCATAAAAAAACTACGTAAAGTTAGAAGAAATAGAATCCTTGTTGCAAATCTTCCCCTGCAGGAGAAAGAAATGCTCACTATTGCCATTGAAGCAATAGTGAGATCCGCGTTTTGTGATATCACTGGAGAGCTTTTTCGACTCCTCCACAATATCTTGAAGGAAATGACCCATGGGACACAAATACAAACTAAAGTGCGTCAGATGGAGGTTAATGGTCTGGCGCGGTGCCAGTGCGTTTTCTACCGATGCCTGTCACTGGCCCGCTCCAGCAACTGACGCGCCATATGCAGTGAAAAAGTTTTGTGCGTGAACGCCTTTCACCGGAGTACTGGCTCTGATTCTTTGACTGTCGTGTGCGGAGGTCAGAAATTTTTTATCAGCGTTGTTTGGTGTCCTAATATCACAATAACAACTCAAATCAATCTACGTGTACAAAGGGGAGAAATGAATGCACTTTAAAGTCATTTTGTATAAATTTACTACATTGCAAAGTTTTTTTTAACTTTTCTTTCCTTTCTTTTGATTTCGGCTCCTTTTGTCTGGCACTCCTTCCTCCGATTGCTGCTCATTTTCCTTTGATTTTGAACCTCCTTTGGAGGCCGATTCCAAACCTCCTTTGGAAGTCTTTGCTCCTTTCTGCTGCTCCAGGCTTCGATCAGATTTATGGCTTTTGGACTGTTCATGCCTTCCCGAAGGAGCCTTAGGAGGAAAACGTTTAGGTGGATAACCCTCAGGTGGATAGCCTTCAGGAGGTTTATCCGTAGATGTGTCGCCTTCAGGTGGATAGGATTGTGGGTGGCCGTCGGGTCCATGCACTTGTGGTGAAGGGTTATCATGTTGGACACCCTGCAGGGCTGAAATATTGAGCACTTTGAGTGTTTCATATAAAGGATCGAATAAAAAGATCGGTACTGAGCGCTATCATGCACAGTGATTTAGGTGTTATTTGAAATTAGCGGTTGTTTGAACTGCCTCTCACTTGCCAGTCTCCAATAACATTTTCAACTGTCGGCGACCAGACAGTTATAATTAGCCGCGCCACACCACATGCTGCATTTGTGCATTTGTGCCATGCACCGCGATTCTTGGTGAGCACTGGTTTGTGAATTATAGCAGCGAAATTCACATGTCAGAGCCAAAGCAAAACCCCATGACGCCAAATATCGGATTTTCCTTTATCCTTGACACTTATATTGGAACGGCTAGGCAGGACAACTCGTCTGTCGGGCGTGACGTTGCTTGCCAGGCCCATCACAGTGGCCTATCACGATTGCCTTACTGTCCCTTTGCGACTGTTGTGCCTCTCCCTCTGTGTTGTCTTGCTCGTAATACAGAGAAAGGAGAGCCAACGAGAAAGAGTCAGTAGTTGCGAGTTCCAGTTCAATTCCCTCCCATCCGATTACTAAGAAAAATGTAACACTTGATTCATACAACGGAACCACACTCGATATCCGGGAGTTGTAGGGGCGTGGCTGCGTGCTTATCTCGAACATGGCGTAGGGTGCGCCTTTTGCACGGATATTCCCATTTGGAACAACTTTCATCCCATACATATTAAGGGTGGACGATAGCATGAGTATAACTGTCTCACAACAAAACACAACACCGCAAGGGAAGCCGCCACTACGTCCGAATAAAGTGCGCAGCCACGCCCTCTTCATATCAGGGATATGAAGTGTATTACGGGAGAGCTGCTGATGCACGGCTCACGCTTGCCCAGTACACGCTGCACTCAGGGGCTTCTATAAGCTTAATTCTGCCCAGCTCACTGATAGAAAAAAACCCGGAAACATCTAGAAAAGGTGGTACTTACCTTCAGGGGCAAAGAGGATGATCAAGATATAACACAACGAAGTGCAACAGCCGATTACAAATAAAACCAATGATGATGATAAGGCTACAACGGAAGGGTCCATATGATTCAGTTGACTTGAATGTAAACTCGAGTGACTCACCTAATCCACCTAAGAACATTGTCCACGGTTATATCATCGTCCTCGGGACAACAGTCGGTACCACAGCATAATTCAACATCTCCAAAACATGCCCACGTAATAACTTGTGGTCGCGTACCGTTCCTATATTGTATCTGCAAAAACAATAAGTAGGTAATTTTGTAGAAATTTCAAAATTCGAGGCGCAGTTGGCGTAATGGCTGATACCGCCCTGAGGCGCACAGTCCTGACTATCCTCCAGGAGAATCAAAATTTCCATGAGAATACACTTTAAGCCAT